ATTAGCATTAAAGAGAACAAACTGAAACAAATGCTTTAAATCATGGCTGTTAATGTTTTGATTCTTTAAGAATTAGAATGTTTTCATTTATCTGAAGTAAATACACACAGATTATGTCCCCAAGGGACTGCCATCTCCTCTCCAGCAGCCCTCTCAGTAACTGTTAGATCCAAGGCTCCATTCCCTTTTCGTCACACCTTACAATCTGAACAGTTATGCATTTCTGGTTTTGCTATATTGCCTGACTTCAATGAAATAAAAATCCTAGTTGTTTTATTTTCCTCATTATTTGGAAAGAATAATTCACTTGATGGACTTACGAACTGGAAAGCTGTGCCTTGGCCAAGGCTGCTTGTGTGTAAGACTCCCCAGTATTCCTTGGTTCAGGGTTCTAACACAGCTAGTCAAGGACGCCTCAAAACCTTTGTCTGGTACTAGTGGTTTGTGTCCAGTTCTTACATTAGCAAATAAAATACTTAAAGTATAAACTCGAGGCATATCTGTGACCAAACCTGCACTGGCTTAGCTGAACTAACCTGAATGAACAGACCCGAGGCAAAAGCCTGAAATAGTAACGAGATGCAAATTGTCCCATTTATTGCCCCAAGATTAAAATCCAAACACAATTTGTTGGTTTCTACAAACAATGTAGTAGGTGATCAAACTCCACAATGTAAAGGGATATTTACAGTGCTATTGTCTCAGCTGGGAGATTACAGAGATAACTTTGGTTGCAAGTCAAAAAGATTGGGTTGTAACTCAAACCTTACTATGCAAGGTTTGATGTACGTACAGCAGCCGAGGAACTCAGCTGGATGTGCTTCCTGCAGTGTGCACAGGTTGAACAAGGTCCTCACTAAGGGCTACGAAAAGTCCAGCATGGGGAAAACAAACAAGTCTTTTAGCTTCCAGCAAATAGCGGACAATTCAGGATTTCTTCTTGAATCTCAAGGAGGACAGAAATCTGTGGGTTCAGTTTGGAATAGGACATATGAGTTCCCCAGGCGTCTGCAAATCTGCTTCACTTTCATGAAGCTAATCAAATTACTTTTCATTTACATTTCTCTCTTTAACACAGATGTGTTCCAAACAACTTCAGTAGGAACAAACTCCTGGAAAGCTCAGACTGTACTTACCTGGGACTCAAAACACGCCTGCTAATTCAGGGCAAGAGAGAAGCATTCAGGACCAGGATTTTTGGTAGAGCTTTACCAGCTGTTAAAGAGCTGAGGCACATTTTCACAACTTTCTCTGTGTTCATGCATGTTAGTAACAACCGACTTGAGGATAAAGCTGATGGCTCCTTTAAACTGGCCACGCAACTGCTTATTTTTAAGAGTTTTAAGAAATTGTGAAAGCAGTTACTGTAAAGCTTTCTTAGGAATGTTCATAGTGAAGCATTCAGACTCATTTCCTGGTGTTTGATTTAAGGTATAAGTTAATTTTTTTGATGTAGTTAAAATTTACTTTGCAGAATGAAAGAAAATTTACAATAAATATTGAGTTAATTCACATTTATTAACGAACATATAGGTATGATGGCCCATAGGACACCTTCAAGTCTTTTTTAATGCCACTGTCTTTGTGGTTAGGTCAGACTGTAAACATACCCAACTGGAAACACAAATGGTACTGCAAAGTGAAATTCTCACTACAATTCTTGAAGAGTAACAAGGGACCTATACTCCAGGAAAACAGTTGGCCTAGTTAATGAAGTAAGAAAAACACGGTGTGTATTAGCTGGAAATACATGTAAACATAAAGCAAGAGGGTCTGTCATGCATTTTTCTTTCTTCACAGTCACCATTCTTACTAGTTCTTTATATGTAGACACATTTTCAGTGACAATAGGTCTGCCATCAGCTCCGAGACTCGGATGCAGTTAAAAATCCCCACAAGCCACGTCAGCACAGCGTGAGCAGGCTGCTCGCAGGTAACCGGGCAGCTGCCCTGACATCACGAGACTGGAAAAACACTCTGAAGGAAGGTGGCTCGAATGGAAGATGTGGAGGAAAAGGGAAGGACAAAGACTGAATTCCCACGGCTATTTAGTGAATCAGGGTTTCAACACACATGTTGTTGCAGCAAACTGAACGTGACCCCACTTCGACAGAATACCAGTTTTCAATGCCCTATCAAATTAACAGCTATGATTGTGAACTCTCCTGTATCTAATGCTTATTAAGGAGGTGATGGAAAGCCAAAGAATTTTAAATTGTTTGATGGTAAACCCAACTTGTTCTCAAGGACAAAATAACCCCCTCAGTCTTCTGAGAGGTATTAACTAGATGCAACAGAATGAAAACACGATATTCAATTTAGAAATGTTCTGTATACACAATGCCATCTTAAGCAGCGACATTAAACCTTTAAAACAACATTCATTATATAGGATATAGGCCTTTTATTTTCTCCTTTAAGAAAGAGGAGAAAATACTTTTTACAAACCGTATCCTGAGCTGCATCAAGAGAAGCGTGTCCAGCAGGTCAAGGGAGGTGATTCTCCCCCTCTACTCCGCTCTTGTAAGGCCCCACCTGGAGTACTGCGTCCAGTTCTGGAGCCCCCAACACAAGAAAGACATGGACCTGTTAGAACGAGTCCAGAGGAGGCCACCAGGATTATCCGAGGGCTGGAGCACCTCTCCTATGAGGACAGGCTGAGAGAGTTGGGGCTGTTCAGCCTGGAGAAGGCTCCGGGGAGATCTTATAGTGGCCTTCCAGTACCTGAAGGGGCTACAAGAAAGCTGAGGAGGGACTTTTCATAAGGGCAGGTAGTGACAGAACAAGGGATAATGGCTTTAAGCAGAAAGAGGGCAGGTTTAGATTAGATATTGGGAAGAAATTCTTTCCTGTGAGGGTGATCAGACACTGGAACAGGTTGCCCAGGGAAGCTGTGGATGCCCCCTCCCTGGAAGTGTTCAAGACCAGGCTGGATGAGGCTTTGAACAACTTAAAATATTAATTTGAGGCAAGGCACTTTGAAGGAAATATAATTTTCAGATCACATGATAAGCATATGAACTGTGATAATCATATTAACTGCTAATTATCAGTTAGCACCACACAAAATGAGCATTCTCCAAATGTTAGTTTGCAAGAGCTAGGTCTGAAATGGGCATTCCCTTCTCAGCACTTAAATGGCACAGGGTTAAAGACTCTGTCTGTTCTCTGCTGGCGGGCCCCCGACCAGCCCGTATCCTGTCAGGAAGACAAACACACAACTCACTAGCAGCACAGTTAGACAGTGTACGCGCAGCAGTACGCTCACAGCACTCAGTGCTGACGGTACCGATTCGAGTGCGCAGCGCGGCAAACGCCCGAGATGGAGAACCAGAGAATGGGCAGGAGCAGGAGTATAAATAAGGCCTTCAACCCAACCCAGTATTCCAGAGTATTATTAAATACTTGATTACACATATGTCAGTTTACTGGCACAACAGTAACTTTCAGACAGTTTCACTTTTCAGGGGAGCATCCACACCGCACAGGTATCTGCATTAACTCACAGTCAGCTCCTGAGATGATCATTCCCTCCTACAAATAAACAACATGCAGTATAAGCATACATCAAGATTCCTGAGGGAAAAAAAAAATAAATTACTATATCCTTATACTATTTTACTTGAGAAAATCCAGTATTGTCCCAAATCCACCCAAATAAAATAAATAAATAAATAAAATGTATTGGCAAGCTTGTCGTTCAATAGTTTGTGTCTTAGGTGTTGCTGTTTCCTCAATGCCATAAGCCTGCTCCTGTGTTTTCTCACTTGGAGACTTCTCATTCATCCAAAACTTTTATTCATTCAAAAGAAAAAGCATTTCTTCTTTTTACAGATGGTAAACCACCACTATAGGAATCTGTTCCCGTTTTATCGTCTAAATCTCCTGCCTCCTGTTGCTTGTGTAACTCACAACTAAGAAACTTTGTGAATTTTTTAATGATAAATCTAATCAGCACACTAAAAACCACAGCAATCTAATTTTGGCAGCCTTGGTGTATTTTCAGAGTTCTCTCATTACAGCCACAAGAAGCGTTCTCTGTAAATTACATTTTTTATACAACTTCAAGATTATCTGATTAGCACATTCCTTTTTTTAGAAGATCACCTTTTCTGAAAGCAATCTGCCTGGTTTGATTATTGTAAGTAGTATCTGGCTCTTTAAGCATTCTCATCCTCCCCCTTTTTTCCTCCTCATTTCAGTGGATTGCT